CCCCGCTCTTTTTTTTTGTTGTAGTCCTTACTATCGTCATTTTCCTCTACTTCTTTTGTATGTTTGTCGCACTCCTGTGACCTGCTGTTTCACGGGTGCCTTGATAGTCGTAGCAGACTTTTTTTTGCTGTTGAGGCCAGAGAGGTGAGCAGAGTAAGCCTGACTCCCCGTTTGGACTTCTCCTCTGTTGACATCCACCCCTTGGCGCTCATAACTCGTAATATGACCTTATGCAGTTGTGAGCACCGTAAGACCTTACTAAAACCAAAAACATTGTGTTCTTGGAAAAGACTATTTACACGAATTTCGTATTTATCTCCATCCTTTCGGAGATGGACGTTGAACTCGGGGGTCCCGCAGTTTTAAAAAAAAGTTATTGTTTTAACAAGGGCATTAAACGCTCACCCGTCGGTGGTTGGTGGGAGCTCTGGTGTGGTTTGCTCTTTCTTTCCCATCAAACATCAAACGCCCATATCTCCCCTCCTTCTTTTAGTCTTTTTTATTCTCTCGTAACAGAGCTCTAATATTCGTCACTTATATGACGTAAGTGTGTTGCAAGTGCTGTAAAATTCTTACGATGGTGGGTGCTGTGGTGTGGTTTGCTTCTTCTTTCCTATGAGACATCTATCCTCCTTATCTCCCCTTCTTCTTTTTATGTTTGTTACTCTCTTGTAACAACTCTAATCTTCTGGCGCTCATATGACCTTATGCAGTTGCGAGCGCCATAAAACTACAAAAACGAAAACCTTACTAAAAAAAACTTATTTCTCCTTTTTTGTGCTTGCTACTGTCTCGTAACAGAGGTCAAATCTTCGGCACTTATTTGACCTAATTGTGTTGCAAATTCCGTAAAACGCTTAGTAGAAATAAAGAAACTTAAATACCATTTCATTCCACAGGGCTGCCCGATCCGTTCGCCAAGATCACAGTAGATGGCTCTGGTCAGTGCCACTCGACAGATGTCTGCAAGAACACGCTGGACCCAAAGTGGAACCAGCACTATGACCTGTGAGTACTGTACTCTCTGTCTGTCTGTCTGTCTGTCTGTCTGTCTGTCTGTCTGTCTGTCTGTCTGTCTGTCTGTCTGTCTGTCTGTCTGTCTGTCTCT